GGGGGGTTATGAGTCAGAATGAAACAGATTAGAATTTGGTGTTTTTATAATGATATCCTCTTTAACATTTTTAACTTCACACATTTTAAAATCGTGTAGCTCAAAAACTAATCTTCCAATTACTTAAAACATTTTTACACATGTCACGCAAGCTCATTGTCATTTGTGAACTGTACTCACTAGGGTGCACTGGTCTATCGTTTTGTCTGACGATGTCATTCACATGGTTTCAGTATTTGGTCAAATACTGTAAAAATATGTGGAAGACTTTGAGACAAAAAACTACCCACGCAAAATTGGACTCCTTTTACGTTTTTCACCTCATATAAAAGTGGCTTCTTTTTTTAAATTCATAATGCTTCGGCTGAATGAATCAGAAAGAAATCACATCATTGAAATGCTTCAGGTGGGCACCCCGCTTTCGGTAGTCACGAGAAGGTTCAACGTGAACAGACACACTGTGTATGCCACACGAGATCACCTGGCAATGACAACCTCTCAAAAGGACAGATACAAGCGGGAAGAATGCAGTCAGAAAAAGAAGTGTTGACTCATTCTTCCTAACGCAATGCTTGAGAAATCAATTTCAACCTGAAAAAAAAAACAACAACACCCCAGGAGCAGTAGCAAGTACTCATGCATGATACTGCACCTGCTCATAAGGCTGCTGTAACAAATCAGTTTCTCAAAACTAACAACATTCCTCTCCTGTACCCATGACCAGGGCATTCACCAAATTTCAATCTAGTTGAGCCCTTGCGGAACATTTTAGATCATGCCATTCGTGCCAGACCACGCCAGCCCCGTACTCCTGGATCAGTTAGAACAAGCCTTAATCGAAGAGTGGAATGTCATCCCTCAATAGACAATACCTCGATTCATCCCGTCCATGCGCGTCGATGTGAAGATGTGACAACACCAGATGTCATCACACGTTTCTGAAAGCTGACACTTTTCATTTTGACCCCTGACATCAATAAGTTCAAAAACTTAGGATTGATAACATTCTTAACTTTGCATTCCACGTGTTTCTCTTGCTGTTCAGAGTGTAATGAATGTACTGTCTTATCTGAAATTTTCAGACAGATTCAATAGTATTAATCAAAATATTGTTCTTAATCTGAGGTGTGAAGTTAAAAATGTTAAAGAGTATCATTCATATTAGGTACTTGTATATCGTTGTACTATGTATGTTGTTGGTGGAAAATATCAAGAGACTGGCCCAAAAGTGAAAAGTGTTTGTTGATGGCCCATA